ACAGGCACCCAGTGCGCCCACCATGCACCACTGCTGTCCCACCAGTCCTAGGTTTGGTGTGCCCACAGGCAGCCCCAGGGCTTTCCTGTGGGTCCTGGCTGTCTCTGCCAACCCTGCAGCTGGCTGGGAAGGGGCTCTGTGGAGGCAAAAGGAGGTGGAGATGCTGGGGGTTGAACCCAGGGCCTCTTACATGCAAAGCAAGCGCTCTCCCACTGAGCTACATCCCCCTGCCCATGGGTAGGGCTGTGCCTGGGGGTCCCCACTGACCCCCATGGTCCAGCTGGCGCCACAGACACTGGAGACAGGGCAGGTATGTGCTGTGGCCGCTTCCAAATGCTGGCCCCACACCCTGGGCACAGTAAGGTGGGCTTCCCTGTTCCAGGCTGTGCCAGGGGCAAAAAGCAGCATCAACCAACCTCACCAACCACAAAAAATGTGGGGCACACAGCCTGGGGGTGCAATGGGGTGCAGCACCCTGGCTCGTTGGTCTAGGGGTATGATTCTCGCTTAGGGTGCGAGAGGTCCCGGGTTCAATTCCCGGACGAGCCCTTCTTTTAGGCAGTCATCTTCCTTAGCTGGTGCCTGGGACCATGGCATCACCAGGGCAGTGGTGCCCAGTGCAGTGGGGCCGTTGCCACGTCCTGGGTGTGGGCAGGTTGAACCCCCAAGGTGTGTGTGCCCCAAGGGTCTGGTTTTGGGGTCAGGGCCCCTAGGGCAGAGCAGGGTGAGCAGTGGGGCAGTGGTAGGGGAGCGAGGGGACTTGTCCCTGCCCCCAGTTTCTCCCATGGGCAGGGGGATGTAGCTCAGTGGGAGAGCGCTTGCTTTGCATGTAAGAGGCCCTGGGTTCAACCCCCAGCATCTCCACCTCCTTTTGCCTCCCCAGAAGTCACTCTCCCCAGGCATTAGTGGAGGATGCTTCCCTTTGGTGCCTGCCTGCAGCAAGGCTCTCTGCTGCACCTGGATTTTTTCCCAGCCTTCAGTAAATACCTCAGATACTCCTTTCTCCCCACCCTGCCACATGTGGGTAGTGGGGTTGCCAAAGTGTACTGGAACTGTGCAGATGGTCCTAAACCAGGCTGGGGACATTTTCTTCCTAGAGGCAGACCCCAGGGCAAAGCAAGGGGAGATGTCAGGGGCTGTGATGGCCGAGGGGTGAAGGCGTTGGACTTGAAATCCAATAGGGTTTCCCTGCGCAGGTTCGAATCCTGCTCACAGCGAGAGATTTTGCCCATGACTGGATGGAGTTGGGGCCCAGGGGGAGCCCCATGCTGTAAAAGAGCAGTGGGAAGGGTACAGCTGTGCTCTAGGAGGCTCCCCTTTCTTCTCTGCTGGGTACTGGTGGGGGGACCCTGCACCACCACACCACGCCTTGGATAAACCTTAATTTTGGGCACCCACTGCCAGGCACAGCCCTCATGGGAGGGGGCACAGACAGGACAACTCTGCCCAGCACAGGGCACCTCCCCAGCTCTGCCACATCTCCTCCCTGTCAAGGACAGTCCCACCATTGCCAGGAGCAAAGCACTGCCCAGTGACCCATGGGCAGAGACACAGCTCAGCTGGTCCAGCCCTGGGTGGGGAAGGGGCTGGTCAGGGGTGGCAGAGCAGGGCCACGTTCCCAGTGGGAAGCTCTGCCCAGAGGCCATGGCATGGGTGATGTCCTTTGGGGATGTCTTCAAGGGGAGTTTACCACCAGTGCCCTGTGGGAGGAGATGGGTTTGAGGAGGCAAAAGCTGGAGATGCTGGGGATTGAACCCAGGACCTCTTACATGCGAAGCAAGCGCTCTTCCACTGAGCTACATCCCCCTGCTCTGTGGACCATCTACATCTAGGGATCCTGCTGCCCACCTTGCTGCTCCTGGCTTTTGTAGTCAGGGCAGTTACAGCCTGTGGCCATGTCCAGGTGTCAATCCCACAGCCAGGGCAGTGCAGGGGGCACCTCCCAGCTGCAGACATCCATCAGGATCAAAAAGAGCTTCCCCAGCTCCCATCCCACCCCAACCAGATCCATGAGTGCTAGAGCTCAAGCAGGGGCTTCCTGCCCTTCTACGGCACCCTGCTCATTGTTCTGGAGGTATAATTCTCACTTCACGTACGAACCCCTACCTTGGGGTAGTGCGGGGTGAGCGGTGGGCAGTAGGGCAGCGATGGAGAGAGAAGGGGCTTGGCCAGGCTCCCAGCCCTGCCCATGCAGTGGGAGTGTAGCTCAGCAGGAGTGTTTGCTCTGCACATAAGAGGCCTTGCGTTTGACCCCCAGCATCTCCATGTCCTTTTGCCTTCCTGAATCCCCTCCCTGCTGGTTGTGGGCCTGGCAGAGACGCAGGCCCTGCAGAAAAGCCCTGGCTGCCTGCGGGCATGGCTGTCCTGGGGCTGGTTCCCAGCACCTGCAACCTGTGGAGGAATGCCCCTGCCTGGGCACTGTGGAGTGTGGGAGTACTGTGCCTTCCGTCCCCAAAGGTCTTGGGGCAAATGTTGGCAGGGCCTGCTGAGCTGGGGAGACTTCTGGGCTTCCCTTTTGCCAGGCAGTGTCATGCTGTCTGTGCCCAATCCCAACGTGTGTGCCTGGCCATGGGTGCCCAAAAAGAGGATGCCTCTGGGAGCTGAACCCAGGACCTAGAACACTCTATGCGAGAATCACACTCCTAGACCAACAAGCCAAGGTGTGCAGCTGAGAACCAGCCCAGATTTCCCCTCCATGGCCCCACAGCCCTGGGCACTACACAGGCCAACTCGTGACAGCCAA